GATCCCTTTTACTTTGCAAAATTTATTACTATTCAATTTAAGAGCTGAAGATTGATCAAAATAGGAGAGAGGGTTTAATTTAAATCAAAAAGTTGGTTTCTAAAAAAAGACTCATAAAAGCCCAAATAAGTCCCTGAATTTATAAATAACATATTACCTGGAAAATTTCCTCCTACGTCTTTCATTAAGAACGTTATTTCTACAAGAAAACATGAACTATAAGACAAACAAAAAGTTAATAGAAAAATGGGGAAAAAAGGTCTCTAGGGGGCTAACTAATTTTTCTACTGATTCATTTTTCAAACTAAGAGAAGTAATTTCAATTATAAATCAAATTCTGTGTTGTTATATTGTTTTATTATACATTTTTAAATTTTTTTCTTTGAATTTTTGGGCTTGATTTTTTCTTTTCAAATAGAGCTTGAAAAGAAGGAGAAGACAGCTTAATAAATCAGATGAGATGAAAGTAGTTAGTGAGTGTTGACCTTGAACTATGACATCTTGAGCTGGCTGGTAGTCTTTGGGCTGGATGACGTCGAAGATGTCCTCCCTTGTCTTCTCGTCCATGTACTTGAACAGCACATTCTTCATCAGACTGTCCTTCAGAGCAGACATCTCCTCCGCCGTCTTCGGAATCACCTGACAACACAACACACACATACACATAGACACATAGACTTACAGCACAAACAAATATATTCAACTCGATCGAGCGATCAAGCAAGTACGCTTATGAAAGAATCTAAGGCAAAGCTACCTTAAACCGGTTAAAATTGTTGAATTTAAAAAAAATTATCATTCATTTTTAATTTTATTTATATCATAATAACTGTTAAAATAATTTTAATTTAATATATGAGAACAAAATTAGAAGAAATTACTTCAAAATTGTTGATTTTTAAAAGCGATTTTTCTAAAGTTATTTTATCTTAAAAGAAAGTCATAAAAAGTAAATTCTGACATTGAAGCCCCTTTCGTTTTTTTTCGTATAAATTTTTTTTTTGTATAAACTCCTTTCCTGACGTTAGCTGTGATCCTAACCTTCTGTGCTAAATACGATCTCCTCAATCAGTTTTTCTCTTTTCGCCTTTTGGTTTTTAAACTCGTTTTCGATTACCTGAAAGCGGGGGTGGATCTAAGATTTTCTCGATTTTCAAAATTTTTGTCGACTTTTCTGTAGTTCGACCAATTGAATTTCCGCGCTTTCCCAAAGGACTAAAACACCCTGTTTTGGCCCCAAATATTGTGCGCCGCAGGCAAAATTTTGAAAAAACAGGTCAAAAAGGCGTTTTTTTTCACTTTTTTTTGAAAATTTTGACGAAAAATCGCGTTTTTTAAAATTAATATATATTGGCGCCAAAGGCGCTTTAAGAGAGTTTGTATGCTCCACGTAATTTTTTTTTCACATTTTCAGTACAGGTATTCAACAGCGCAAAATTACACTAGAAATGAAAGCGCTTTAAAGTAAATTATAAGACGATTTTAAAATAGTTAATTTCATTGAGCATTTTTTCAAAAAATTGTTAAAATTTTGTCGGCTTTTTGTTAGGTCGACGGAATTGATTTTCTGAGCGTCCCCAGAACACAATGAAGACCGTATTTTGATTTTAAAAATTTTGCGCCGCAGATCAAATCAAAATTTTGAAAAAGGAGTCAAAAATGCTGTTTTTGGGAACTCCCCTTCGAAGTTACTATACATTGGAAGCAAAAGAGCCTTAAGAAAAGTTTTGGGTCGGTCGGCGAAAAATGGATGTCTTAAATAACACCAAACGTTGGTGAGGGATCGAATCCGTGAAGAAGAAAGCGTCCCTCCCACCCCCTCGCCCCCTTAAAACCGTCCCTGTCTTAAAGGCATTTCATCCGCCAAGCAAGATTGCCTCGGACTTGATAGTTTATCATGCGATGACTCACCACTTTCTTGTAGTTGGCAATGTCTTCTTCTGTCACTGCCTCTGCTGATACAGCCCCCCTCCTGCGCACCCCTTTGGTGGGACCCTCTTGTGGCTTGGGGGGAGGGGGTTCATCCTCCAAAATGTCATCCTCGTCGTGCTTGTTGTTCTGCTCTTCTGTAGAATCCGTTTTCTTCTTCTTCCCCAAATTAGACATGCGTCTCTGCACATTTCGCGCGCCCTCTCGCGGCGCCGAGAGAACTTTGCCCATGTTTCGAATTTGAAATGTTAGCAACTTCTCTCAGAACAAACCCAGTTTCGAACACACTGCGGTCACTTGTAACTGCGAGGATATTAACTCCTGTACCAATTTAGTAAGTCAAAGACTGAAACATCAAAGAGATATTTCACTGGAGAATAAGAGAAGCATTCATTCTCGTTTTGTCTTTTGAAGCATAGAATTTACCAAATCAGGTTCCATTTTCGTTTAAAAAATGGTCATATAATCATATAATCAAGTGCATAAGAACAATTAAAACGTCAAAAAATAACACCACGAAAAGTTTTACGACGTTAAAGGCGTAGCCATGACGCTCTGACGCGAAAAAAAAGGAAATCAAAATTTGGTTCAATTTCTCAAAAACGAAAAACAAAATATATATATTTTATTTTAGAGGAAGCGATATATTTACTCAGTAAAAGCAATAAAATCAATTTGCTGAATGGAAGACAACTACTGACAGCAATTTTAAAATTTAACAAACCATTTTAGTGAGGGGTAACAAATGTTGCGCAAAATGTGTCAATTACTTGATCTGACTCAGTATTGGAATAACAAGTAAATAAAAAATATTGAAAAGGGAGCAAAAAGTCAACTTGCGCAATATGTAAAATAAAAGAAACTGTGCTGTTTTTTTTGTTATTTCTTTTTTCACTTCCTCATTTGCCCATTAGTAACACTAGCCATTGTTTAATACACAAGCGGGGATTAAAAAGTGGAACAAATGGAAAAAAAGTGGAACAAAAGGAAACAAGAAATAAAGTCAAGGATTCTCACGTGTAAGCATACGCAGCTGATGGCCGGATGCATATCTGAATCATGCACGCATGTGAGTTTGGATCGAAGGCCGAATTACTAGTAAACAAATTGGGTTCTTGCTGACAAAATCCAGCCATTCCCTTACCCCGCCCCTCCCACCACAAACACAGTCAAACACAGATGAAAAGTCATTTTAAATAAGTTTTCATGTAAAAAATTTCCAAAAAAAAATTAAAGGGGCGGGAACTGGAAAAGAGCCCACACATGCATGCATGCACACACACACCATTTGATTGCAAAAGCGGAAGAAAATCTAGTTAGGTCAATAAATTACCCAAATCCACTGTTAAGTCGTAGATGAAGAGCCAATTGCTGGTTAAATTCTGACAGGTAATATGGAGGAGATGGCAGCTATAAATTCTTCAATCAGTTCAAGTCGAAGTCCTGATGTTTTTTTCGTTCCCTTGATTTATATTAATGAGTTTGTTATTATTTTATTCCCTTGCCCTTTTCCCCGTGCACGCTGCTGCTTTCTCACGTGACTTGAAACAAATAAAAATTATTTGAAATGCCTTTTTTCCAATTTCATCTGACATTTTTTGTGCAAAAGCTTAAAAATTTAGGATGAATGAAAAAATAATTAGGGCCGAGTTTCTGACAGCAAGTTTGACGAAGAAGAAACTATTCGTTTTGGTCGAGTGGATGTCAGCTTTTAAAATCCCGTTTCATGGTAATCCCAAATACATTCAAAGTAAATCACTTGAGATTTCGAGCGAGGGAATTTGCATCAAAAGAAACGGATATACACATTTGCGAGCACATTCACAAAATTGAAAGCGATGGCAGCGCAGCGCATGTGAAAATAATGGTATTATATTTTGCAAAAAAAAAGAAGCCCGCTTGCATATCTGTGCACTGCTGCAAAATTGAGCCATAAAAAGGGACATTTAAAATGACTGATTAAAACACACCACAAGTGCAGTTGAGTGAACTTGGCTAGATAAAACACAGACTGCAATTTGCCCAACAAGCTAGTCAAAAAAGAGGAACAAGACTGCTCGTATGTGGGTGAAGTTTTAACAACCCCCATTGACCTTCAACGAATCTAAGCTAATTCTTACCATTAGAATGAGAAGACAAAAAAGGAGCATTTTTCTTCTTTTTTGAAAACCAGTTACACGCAACGTCAAATACAAATGAGTGTAAACTTTACGTAACCAAATAATTGTTTGTGGATTCTAGAGCATATTTAGTAGATGCATTGGGCGGTTCAACAGTGCCGAAGTACAACAGTGCCGAAAAAGAAAACGTTGTTCAACAGTGCCGAAAATTCTTTTCAATACTGTTTTACTCATGCCAAAACACTGCCAAGTGATTTAATTCAAATCGGAAGTTGAAATGTCAAAAATTTACCAACAAAAATTCAGTGCCAGATTTTTTCAATGTCCTTTCTGAACCATTTTAACTCACCTCAACGCGTATAATGTGGTTATGGAAAACAAGTAAATTTGCGCACAACTCAATTTGGCGACTTTCAACCCCCTATAAATGTACAAATAGGCATTGCAAGTGAAAAATTTTTTACTAACTTTGAATCTCAAGTTCAAAACATCAAATTTTGTTTGATAGCTTGAAAAATTCCACGAGAAATTGTTAGTCGAAAAGGGAAACTTTTCTGAAAAAAAAACAGACGGATAAATAACTTCTTTTAATTCATTCCAACAAAAAAATCAAACAACAAGCATGACCATCAATTATTTTTTTGCTTTTTAAAAATTTTATATATAAACTGTTTTAACAGTTGTTTAGCGAAAATCTACAGTTTCATTCATACCGTTTTAGCATGCTTTAAATTAAGATCCCTCAATTTAAAAAAAATAATCTGAGCCAAATTTCTTCAAACTATATTTTCAAGACAAAATTTTAGCACAATATTCTAAAGCTAATCAACAAAAAATGGAAATTTTTGTATTTACAAAAAAATAGCATTTACTTTTTCCTACAGTTTTTTTGGTCTGTTCAACAACCAGCAGCAAAAAACAACTGTACAGCATACCATATAACTTTGTTTACAACCTACTTATAATAAGAAGAGGCGAACGAGTCAAGAAGTTAAACTCTTGAATTTATTTATACAATTCAAGGATCAGTTTAAAAAAAACTGAATAGAAATTCACTTGAAATTATCTATATTGATGTACATATGTGTTCATATGCTGTTAAAATAATTTCATATTGTTTCAAACTGGTAAATATTGTTTTAAACTCGTATCAGGGCCAAGCCCTGATGTTCCGACTGCCTTTTAAGGTCTATGGAGCAGTAATAACATGAAAAAATTAAATGTAATAAAATAACATGATTTTTTTTTAATTTAAGATTTTTTGTGAAAATCATCCCCCCAACACGCCATATGAAGTACAAAACGATAGACTTTGCACCTAGTAACAAATCAATTATGGCAAATAAGCTTCCTTCAACCAATTTGAAACGATTTCTAAGACGGATTAAATCTCCGCTTACAAATTGATAGCGCGAAATATATCGCCTGTTAGTTGTGCAAAATTGGCCAAAATGGCAACATTTAAGCCCCCATAACTCTACAAAGTGATCACATGTAAAATTTCTTTTTAAATTTGAGCTCAGGGTAACAATACTTTTTGAATGATATAAAATGATTCCGTCAAAAATGGCTAGTTAAAAAGTCGAAATTTGTCTGAAGAAAAAAAAACCCATCCCCAGCAGAAATATTCCGTTACTTTCGTATAGAAAGTCGGAAAAATAATTTTAAAAAATTAAATATTGATTCAAATCTATTAAAATATTTATTTTGAGCCCCGAAATATGATCACTTATTTTAACTTATGTTTACAAAAACATCTTGAATAATAAAATTGATCTCAATTCATTTTTGGTCAATGCGTTTGTCCTTTCTTCAAATTCTTTTTCGTTAATCAATGTTATCTTCATAGCGTTTAATCTTCTCTTAAAAATCGTGCAAAAACTGCTAGGAAAATTTTGTCGGTTAGTTTAAAAAAATGTATTGGACTTCTTGTACTAATTTGGCTCAAAAAAGCTTTTTAAGAAACAGTTTAATTTGGCTGAATTTTTTTTCAACGCGCAACTTGTAGCATTCCCACCCCCAGTGGTTCATGTTGGATTGATTTGCTTAGCGCTGCGTGTAAATTGCTCAAATCTGATTTGGTTGAAAAGTTTATATCAGAACCAAGTTAAGCGGTGGAATCCCTGATAGGCGAAGGACTGAGTGGGCGAAAATATAATTCAGCCAATGAGATTTCAGTATTAGCCGAATATGACAACGGCAGAAATATGCAAACTTTTCAAGCTGTCACTCACAGCCGGCGAATTGGAACAAATTTGATATTTCAAGGGTTTCGTTATAAAATAAGCAAAATATTTCTTCATTTAATTTCTTCTAACTGAACGGCAATTCATTCAATTCAAAAATTGACTTTCGACTAGTTTTGTTTTCGGTCCTTCGCCCTTGAGATTAGCACCCAAGTTAACCCCTCTAAACCGTTGTTCAGTGGGAGAATGCTAATTTGTTCCATTTTTCAGTAACTGTCAATTATTTAGATCGTGATTTTTTTTCAACACCGATTATTTTACGCCTCTGAATTTTTTGAGTAATTCAAGATTACCCTTCAGTCTTTTGTAATCTGTGGCATTTTGGTTAAATCCAGCTAGAAGGTAAATTGAGATACAGGGCTGATAAACAACTTGCTTTAGCATATTTAATCGATATTCTGTCAGTATTTTGCACAGAGATAGACACGAATATAGCTTACTATGACAGATGTCTGAATAATTTGTCGATCAAATCGATTTTGAAATAAGTTCTATAAAGTTAGCAAATAATTCTTAAACAAACCACTGAAAACTGCGATGATAAACCAGACTTTAATTGGTCTCGACTTGTTTGGTCAATTTTTGTTTGAATTTTTGTTTAAACTAGTTTTGTCTGTACATTTAAAAATATTTTTGAAGTCATTCCGAATGTAAAATTCTGAGTTACTTGCACAGCAAACGATATTCCTTGTTTCTCTATGGCTTTATTCGACTACAGCAAAACTTTCATAACAGACCCAAAGTTATTCAAAAGTCACCATAGTTTCCCTATTAAAAAGATGCTTCAGACGAGCGCCGCTTAGACAAAATAACAAGAGATGAAACCTCAAAATAGTTTAAAATGAAGTAGAAAACCTGTTAACAAGTTGGTAGTTGAAAATTTGATTAAAAAAACCACGCTGAGCACAAATATTGCATACTTTTTGCAAAAATTGGAAAACAAGGATTCAGGGATTTTTTTTTTTTTCAAATCAAAATTT